GTGACACTGAGTCATTCTGTGTGTGTCTCATTATCATGCATCGTGTGTCAGTGTTGTCCAGCAGGCTGAGCCTCCATGCCATGCTCCAGGGGAGAGTTATAGATTACTGGCTGGAACAGGCTGGGACCAGGGGAGCCGCTGGAGCCCAGACCCGAGAACTGTAGGCTGGGCACGGTTCTCAGCTCATCAGCCTGTCTCTTGAGGCTGCGGAGCTTAACCTGGAGCAAGGCTCTGATTAACCAGACTAATGACAGTGCAGCCCCCAGCTCCCAATGCCCAACACCATAATCACTGCTTAAGGCCCTGACCAGTCGGCATGTCTATATGGAGACAGAGAGAGAGCGGTGTCACAGCTTAATGGATAAGTCTACTGACAACAAGCATTTTAAGTCAGCTGTCAATACGAGCTTTGAGAGTCATTCACATGGAAGGGGACAGATGCACTATGTGCAAAGCTGGAATGAGATCAAATACATTTGTAGCTTAAATACATTTTTCTGTTTGTCAGCTGTACCTGTGCATGTAGCTGAGTGTGTGCCTGTAAATATGTGTCCCTGTGTTTGTGTGTGTGATCACAGTTGGAGGTGTTTAATGAGCACTGATCGATGTCTCATCTGGGCCTTCTTATCTCTAAAGCAAACATTTCATCAGCACAATGGAACCTCTCAGCCTTTGGTACACACAGAGACCCCAACAGACAAACTGCACAAACCAAACCAGGTACGCAAATAAGACAAAGACAGACATGCTTCTGTTCATATCCCACTGTCACAGAGAATTATCCAATAAGTCTAATAAGAGTGTGTGTCTTTTTAGTCTGTGTGTGAACTTCGGGAGGGGAAGGGCTGGTGGAGCACTCACTCTGCAGACAGAAGAGCATGTCAATAGTTCTTACTTTCATCTGTGAGTAAAGTGATTTCTGACATCTCCTAAATGAGGCCCTGGGGGTGGAGGGGCCTGCAGCGAGATCACAGACCTGCTTTATGACTGTTTGCGTGAGTGGGAGAGTTAGAGACAGAGGTAATAGCTTGACGCTATAAGTGGGGCTGAGTCGATAAGTGATCTAGCTATACTGTCCAGCAGAGAATGAGATGGGAGGTATCCAGCGTAGAGTTCAGATGCCAAAATAAAAAAAAAGAAGCCACAGGGAGTTTACTGCTGCAGCTCTGTGAAGGGACAAAATGATACCTCTGCTACAAATACACTGTAATACATGAGCCACTTCATCACCATCCCCTGTTCATAGATATTAGCACTTACATGATCTCTTATGAAAGAAAGTAGGAAAAAAAACATTCCTCCACTCCAGACATCGATGTGTTCTTCCTTGGCCACCATTCCATCAAGTTTTAATAAAATTGGTGCAAATATTGTCCATGGATTAAGAAGAGTTGCCACTTAGCAGGCTCCTTACCATGAAACGCTTAAAACAGGATTCATGAGTCCAAGACGTGTTTTGAGGCTTTTATCAATAATTAGACTAAAAGCAAAATGTCATGTTGAACAGAAGATATTGAAGCTCTACTCCTGTCTTTGTCTCTGAATCCTCAAATACATGAAACGTGAAAGAGAATCCTACTTTACCCAGAAGATAAATATTTGCAGTTTAAATAAAAATGACAAACCTGGGATTATTAACTTTGGCCTCAGTAGTTTTTACAACTAACAGACAAACAGCAATGTGATCTTAACCTCTTCCTACCTAAATGTGTCACTTTTAAATATGTAATCAATTCATTTAAATAATTTTTGGACTAAAAACTCTCAGTCAGATCATGTCACTGTTGGTTTTTGTCCCCCTCATAGGATTTGTTGATAGTAATGACACAATAAAAAATCACAACCTTTATTATTTAAGGTAACAGAGGGAAGAGAAGAAGCAGTGGCAGATATGAGTGCGCACAACTTACATGTATGTTCAATTGGCCACATGAGTCTGCAGGGGCTGTTACTTACTGACAGCCCTGACTACGCCTTCCACATCACTCCTGTTCCCCAATAACATCCAGCGCTTACCTTGTGTGTCTGGATGCACAATTGTGTATGGCTGGCTGTGTAGCAGGAATGTATTTTTCCTATTGATGTGTGTGTGTGTGTGTGTGTGTGTGTGTGTGTGTGTGAGTGTGTGAGTGTGTGGGTTTAGTTCCACCTTTGCTGGTTGATGGCTAAGCACACGACGGATCCAGGCATGCACTCATAGCAGCTGTGTTTCTGAATGGATCCAGCGGCCATTGTTCTGCTGTCACTAACTCGTCTCTCAGGCCCAGGAGACACACCACTGACATTTACCAGACTAACCCCCCTCCCTCCCTCAAACCCCATACCCCCCACCCCAAGGCATGCCTCACCCTCTCCTCACCGCTCCTCTCCCACCACCCTTTTCCTCTCTTCTGTCTCATTCCAGCTCTCCGTCTCTTCCTGTCTCTCTCTCTCTATGGCATGACGTGCGTGGACAGATGTGTTTGGACGGTGTGTGTGTGTGTGAAACTGAGTGAGTGTTTGTGTTAGGCCCTTTAAGGCTATTAAGATAAAATTGGTATGCCCAGAGTCCCTCATTACCCAGCAAGCATTGCTCCCTACATGGAATGGTAATTGGGAAGAGGAGAGAGAGGGATCGAGAGGGTTGGAGTAGAAGTGGAAATAATACGAGGATAAACGAGGGATAATTGGGCGGATTGAGAATAAGAGGAGCGATTGATCAGGTTGATTTGTGTCTGCAGAGAGAAGCGGTATGAATGGGGGGGGGTTAAAGGTCACACACTCGTATGTGCACACACGTATGTGCACAGACATGATAAAAAAAACAAATTTTAAATGCACGAGGGGTTGATCTTCAGAACTGCACACTGTCCAACCTGAGTTTAGATTTCATACGTTAACATGCACTCAGACATGTTAGAGGAAAACTCTGAAGTGATATTTTTAAGTGGTTTATAGAATGGTCTCAATATTTTGTCATTTCCAAACTTTTACTGGTGATCACCAGATTTTATGTTTGTCTTTAAAACATTTTACATGCTTTATGTTTGAGTTTGTGTGTTAATGTGGGATTATCTATTTTAGTTCATCTTTACTGTCACTCAATTTTAGTTTCCTTCACACAGTGAAACACCAGCATCTCCTACAGGACACAGATGTCAACAGCAACGTTCCCTGCTTTATTCATCACCTCTTCAACTTCTGACCCTGGTAAAAATATGAAACTCCAAATAACGGACCAAAACAAATATAACAGTAACCAGTTATACAGTTTAATCACAACTTTTCTTCTAAAATATTTTGTTTTTTCGATATATTTTTACATTTATTAACTGAACCAAAATCTGCTGTCCAATTGCAATTATATTTAACTGAAAAATAAATGTGTGCTAATGCATAAAATATGTAACAAAATATTAATATATAACAATTCAATATTATGTCTCATTGCCATCATTATGAAATTTCTTTGAAGTGTTCTGTTAAGCTTGTATGCTGTGTTTTGACAGACAAGGTTAAAAAAACTGACTGTTTTCTCTCTGAGGGATCAGAGTCTGTAAGTCTGTCATTCCTAAATAAGACACAAGTCCATTGAGGCGACTGAAATCCTCAACAATGAAAAGGTAAATCTTATGATATTTTTGATGACAGTCAAGTATAGTAAAAGTTTTGACACTGAGTCACAGAGAGAGTTTGGGTGTTTTCTGGGATATAAAAGAATAAAAGTGAGACAGATAGCTGGTCCGGGAGGAGACTTCCCAAGCAGAGCTGAATATAGAGTTGGAACTGTGGATTTATATCACCATCATGTGGCAGGACTGTGTACAAGCAGTTGCTGAATGTAAGCAGGGATCGTCAGATAACGATAATAGGTAGAGCTACACATGTGCGTCAGTGTTCCTAAAAGCATCTGGGACAAGACTTGTGGGGACATTGTGAGGCAAATTCACAAATTAAAGCAAAGCTGCACAGTATTAAATAAGTAATGCTTTCAGGGAGTTCTTATAGGGCTGCACAAACCTTTATACATTTTTAAACAGCATCTAGATGTGGACCAGCACAGAAATACACAATTTATTAGTTGTGGAAAACATTAACTAGATTTTCTTCCACTTGCTGGAGTATTCATGTCTTTATTTATATTGGGGGAGTCCAACATTTAGAAAACAGCTATCTTATTTGTTGAATTTAGCATTTTAAGATCCACCACATTTAAATGTATCCACAAAGATAAATAAAAGATTGCCCCTGCAGAAATTCAGTCCTGACAGTGTGGAAAAGAAAAACACTTAAACCGTAATATTATAAAATAAAATGTACAGAATAATGTAGTTAATGAAACAAAACCTGATAATCCCATTGGAATATTATAGTAATTTTCACTTTGAATTCTTAGTGGTGGGTGGCCACGTATTACAGGGATTCAAATCCTGGCTGTGGCTCTGGCAATAATTTTATTTTAACTAACTAACTAACTATATATATATATATATATATATATATATATATATATATATATATATATATATATATATATATATATATATATATATATGTATATATATATATATATATATATATTTGTTTTTGATCTACCCAAATCAGTTTATTTCAATCCATTGGTTTTTGTTTTTACATTATGGCACGTCAAATCTGTCAGAGATTGTGTGTCATTGTTAAAACTTGCCTGTTTATCAGCATTGTCTTCAATAATCCCAAATTGATCGACCCTGATATCAGCACGTCTCGGCTCCTCATTGGTCGTGACTGTGACTGACTGAGGAGGGAGAAACCGGGCGAAACCATTCATCCAGCCAATACTTCCACCGACTAATGTCTCAGATTAACGAGCAGGAGTAGCAGCTACACTCAGATTTGAAAGAGGATTATGTTCGTGTATCTGGATGAGATGGTTAGATTACCAGTCTGGGTAATTTAGAGCTGGATTAGCCTGTTAATCACACGGTAACCCCCCCCCTCAACATCCGCAAAAATAAACAGCCGAGCAGCCAATTATGATGCGTAGATGATTCTCGTGACGCTGCGATGGAGACCTACGGAGGAACAGGGATGGAAACAGAAATGAGCATCTGGTCTGATGTCAGCTCGGTTCAGTAGTTTTATGTCGCTTTTTCACGTTTAGATTATTGGCCATGATTTTCCTGCGGAGGCTCGTGCAGCTGCTGGTGCTGCTAATCCAGGGCGGATGGTGGGGGGTCGCTCCTAGCCCCACCGACGAGGGAGCACTCCGGGCCGGCCACGGGGAGCATGGAGAGCCGGGGCACCAGGAGCCACACAAGGACTCGTACAGCACCTTTGCCTCCGAGTTCCTGGAGTCCAGATATCTGTCCGATGACGGTGAGAAGCTACGGTTCAGTTTACTGACGACTCCCAGCCAGTGGGGTTTTGTTTACATGTCATTTACATGCGGCCAAACATAACATATGAGTATAACACACAAGATAGAGACAAATAAACAGAGACTACAAGAAGAAGAAAATGAACTGTGGTCTTTGTTATTTCTTGGATTCGACCTGCCTCTTCTGTAAGAGGCCTTTCAGCCTTTCAGCACCCAGGCCAGCTCCCTGCTGTTAGTACGCCTCTCTCTCTCTCTCTCTCTCTCTCACACTCTCTCAATCTCTCTCTCCTCTCCCCCCCTCGTTTTTACTGCTATCTTAGTAAGAGAGTTCATTGACATAATACATATCCTATCCCCTTACCATAACCATCCTAACTAGATGTCTAAACTAAAACCAGTTCTCTCCCTCAAACAGCCCATTGAAGAGTAAAGTATTTTAGCTTCATTTCAACATTATCCCTAACCGTGACCAGTTAATGTCTAACCATGACCTTAACCCAACCACAGTTCACATATTAACTCAAAACTTGACCAGGCCCTCAGAAATGATGTTTCATCAGGACCAGGCTTTGGTCCACATGAGGTCTACTGTTTTAAGGTCCTAATTAACAACACGTGTACACACAAACACACACACACACACACACACACACGCACACACAAACACACACACACACACACACACACACACACACACACAGTACAGATTGTCTTCCTCTAGCTTGCCTTATTGAAATCAAGCATCAGTTTTTATTTGTTGTTGCTGATTTTGCAGGTTATCCATTCCCCACCGCTCCACCAGTGGATCCCTTTGCCAAGATCAAAGTCATTGACTGTGGAGTCACCAAAGGCTGCATCAGGTCAGAGACAGAAACATCTTTTACCAGCTCCCTCATTCTGGAGACAGAGCTCATCTGCAGCTGTATTTCCCAGAGCTGCTTTATCCTAGATTCTGTGGCCTGACTTCAGAGATCTGCTGCTAAACATGGAAACTCTCCACTGTGCTTGTTCTCTGAAACATGAATAGAGCTTTACTTTGGCTCAACATTAATATTCTGAATATTGTGAGCCAAATGTTTTCCACTGCGCTCTTTTTGACTTATATTTCAATGTGAGTGTAAATAACTGTCTGTCTTTGTCTCGGTCCAGGTATGGGAAGCCAGGGTGTGATGCAGAGACGTGTGACTACTTTCTGAGTTACCGTCGCATTGGTACAGATGTGGAGTATGAAATGAGTGCAGACACAGACGGCTGGGTGGCCGTAGGTTTTTCCTCTGACAAGAAAATGGTGAGCAGCCATATACAATTATTTACATGAAAATATAATCATGGTCTGAACTGCTTGAGCTTATGTTCACACTAAGGCCATAATCTTTGATGATATGTCAAATGACATCACCGTGATGTTTCACGTGAAAGTTGGGAACCAGGAATTTATTATAATATATGTATGTAGTTTACACACAAACCTTTTATTTAATATTTATATTTTATTCAGAATCATTTGAAATTTGAAGAGTTTAAAAAACACATCAGTAAGTAACAATAAAGGGATAGGATCAAACATTTCTAGTGTTTATAACATTTGAACTAAGCATACAAATCAACTACAAGGTGGAAAACAGAATAAGCTGTGACCATAGAATATATATGTAAAAATGAAATATCAGCTGAAGATGAGTTTGACATCAGGCTAACATGTAGTCCATTGTTACAGTATTTCTGTTAATATGGTGATGAAGCATTTTTCTGTAAAGGTCTTCATTAATTGTTATTTCCTTATTATATCTTCAGGGCGGAGACGATGTCATGGGCTGCGTCCATGATGACAACGGTCGCGTGCGAATTCATCACTTCTACAACGTCGGCCAGTGGGCGAAGGAGATCAAGAGGAACCCGGCCAGAGATGAAGAGGGAATTTTCGAGAACAATCGGGTGACCTGCCGCTTCAAACGACCGCTGTATGTCCCCAGAGAGGAGACACTGGTGGACTTACACCTGTCGTGGTATTACCTGTTTGCATGGGGTCCCGCCATTCAAGGTGAGTCAAGCATCAGTGAAGTCAAATCTTTTTATTTATTTTTTCCTGCCTTTAATGTCATCTTACATTGTCTTACCTTTTCCAATAGGTTCCATCACGAGGCATGACATTGACAGTCCGCCCGTCAGTGATCACATGATCAGTATCTATAAGTACGAGGACCTCTTCATGCCTTCCACAGCGTACCAGACCTTCAACTCTCCCCTCTGCTTACTCCTCATCGTAGCTCTCACTTTCTACCTACTGATGGGGACACCATAATAAAGCACAGAAGAGCACAGAGGAGGAGATGAAGCAGCAATAAAAAAAAGTTGACTTTTTTTACATGCCACATTCAAGTGTGCACTTTGCACACAGTATTAGACATATTATCCAGGATAGAGAATATATATCCATTACTCTGAACTCATTCAGAGGATCCGGACAAATTATTAAACCTATATTTAAGTGTTATGTACTGCTGTCAGTACAAGAGGTCTGATAACAGAGTATTATTGTAGTTAAATAGGTAAACTACTTTAAGTATTTATTGTAGCTTCCAAGTATTAAAAAAGTTAGAGGGGTACACTTTCACAAGTATTTAAAATACTGCATGCACTGGGAAATCTGGGAATAATTTCAAAAAGCCACTATTCACCGGTGATCAGAAGAATAAGACAGCGCCAACTCACAGCAGTTTGCACAAACTCTTCATGTCCCCTCACTCATGTTTAAAAAGAAAATGAGACAGTTTATTTGGTGGTTTGTTCTCTGAAATATCCAAGGTCTGCCTACTGTATGTGTTTACAATTAAAAATATTTTCATTAACTTTTAAAAACTTTTAAAAAGAGGTTTTTGGTTGGCTCATCTTACTCATAACTTCCTTTAAGAACTGTTCCCCACCTTTACCTCAGCAGCGGCTGTTTGATTATCAGCACTGTTGCACTGTGACTGTCGCACAGAGAGAGAGACTGCTACACGAGTTCGTCTACGATTTCCAATGTGAGCAACAACAACACTGAACAAGAACAAACTGAGGATTTAACAACATTTTGCGTGGACATGGACTAACACCCCTCTTTCATTGTAGCCTTTTGATCTCTATTAAAAATGACTGAATACGTTGAGATGCCTCCTACTGAAACAATCTGCAATATTTGTTTATTATTAATAAAAAATAACAATATACAATACAATATTATAAGGAAATACAGACATTGCTGTGTGTGAACAATCAGTCAAACAGTGTAAATATAAATAGGACATATTTGAACAGAATTACCACTGAGGTCATGTGCCTCGTATTTTGATGTTATTACTCTGAGTAACTTTGAATTTTGGTGGAAATTAGCTGTGGAAAATAGTCTTCCAGATGAATGACCAGTGACTGTAGCTCGTAACTTAAAATGTGTCAATTATGAACTGTAACCATGAGCTTCTAACCACACAGAACCAAACATTTCATGACAAATACTAAATCTGGCTGATTGCATTAAAGTCGATATACTTTTAAAAATCTTATGTGATTCTATCATGTTTCTAATCCATCTGAGAGATGTGCTTTATTGTCTCACACTGTTTGTTTAAAGGTACCACTGTGAGCCACCAGCCTTTCAATACAAAATAGAATATATACTATACACATTAAATTCAATATATACATAATGCCTAAATATAAAAACAACAACCGTGTTTGTTTTAGATGAAATCATTTAAAGGGACAGTTCAGCAAAAAAATGGAATGGGGGTGAAGTGTTTGAGTTCACAAAACTTAAATCCTACAGGAAAAAAACAAGAGTAACTTCCGTTGCAGAGACAACGTAATTTCCTGTTTCTCCTGTTGAGGTCCGCCATGTTGTCTGCAGCTCGATGTCTCTGTGTTACGTCAGTGCTACGTCATATGTTTTCCTCCCTCACGCGGCGCGTCGCCCGGGTGGATCCAGCGAGGCGGGGTCCGGGAACATGGCAGACGAAGACGAGTCGGCATCGGAGCCAGCCGCCGTCTCTCCCCCGGAGAGCCCTCACCCTGGGCGGCCACACTGTGTTTCTTTCTCCGAGAGCTTCCAGCCGGCCGTCGGGATGGTGAGCCAGCTGCTGAGCCACCCGTCCTCCCTGAAGTTTGACAAGAACATCAAACAGGCCTTTTACAACACGGGGGCCATGATCTTCGTGGGGATCTGCTGCGCGGCCGCGGTGCTGGTCTACTTCATCCTGGAGGCCTTCCTCCGGCCGCTGCTGTGGGCAGTGCTCTGCGGCACCTTCCTCCACCCCTTCAAGCACTCCCTGGCCCGGCTCGGCCGCTCGTGGCTCAGCGGCCTGCAGGACAGTGGGACCCCGGTAGTGGTGGGGACCCTGTTGGTCCCGGTGTGGTGCGTGAACTACGGGGTGGAGGCGATGGGCCGGCTGGTGCTGGAGAGGCTCACGGTGCTGCTGGTGATCGGAGCCGGGGCGCCGCTGCTTTACTTCCTCTACCTCTTCTGGAGCGTCATCGGCATGCAGGTGATCCTCGGGCACATGTGTGGGATCATCGGCGCCGTGCTGGACTGTTTCCACGCAGTGTGGGTGAGTGACTAGACACAGACAACTGGACTGAGACAGCTGGACTGACCCACTGAGGACAGTCTGTATGAGGGTGGTGCTGCTGGGTGGGTGAGGTCAGCTCTGACTGAACCGCTGCTCAGGTCTGATCTAATGGTTGAAATCAACATTATCATGTCCCACTTCTTCCTGTAAGTTTCACACATGTAAAACTTAAGTATTTTGCGATTGTAATTTTTTTGAGGTGTTTAGCCACTTGCAGCATCTGTTGCACTTCTGTCTGTCCTGGGAGAGGGATCCCTCACATGTGGCTCTCTGAGGTTTCTATGTTTTACCCCTGTTGATTGTTTTTGGTAGTTTTTTCTTGCTCTTGTTGACGGTTAAGAACAGAGGATGTCGCTCCTTGAGACAAATTGTCCAGTTTGGACGACAGTTAAACACATGGCAGAGAGGACCCCCCTCCATGTATATAATTTATATTTATATAAATATAAAGTTTTTAGATATAAAGGGCCCATTCTATGGTAAAGAAAACAACATTTCATACAATGTTCCTCCTCAGACAGCCTGTTCTTTCTCTGAATGCAGAGGGGGCCTGACACAGGGCCCTTGTCTGTTAATGGGAAGGAGGACATGATATTAAATTTCACTGAAATATGTTTTTGTGTGGAGCTGAACAATCTAAGATCTTTGTTACCAATTGATTACACACAGCTCAGAGTATCGTTCATCACTTCAGTGTTTTTAAATGTGCAGCAGTTATAGCGGCACACACTCTTAAAATCTTGATGCAGTAATATGTTTTCTTGAGCTATGACTGCTGTGATCTAGTTGACCTGTTGGCCGGTCAGTACGTTTGGGAGCAATATCACAGTATTATGAGAACATTTTCATGATATTGATAGAAGAAGTCATGATGCAAAGTCACATTTAAGTTAAGAAAATTAAAAGAAAACTCCCAAGTCACTCTGCTTTTAAACAATTAAATGTCTTTTAAGTATCCTGGTGTTGTCATATTAAACCCAAACTTCTCAGAGGGAGTATTTAAATCCCTGAAGAAGTTTCAGAGTTTAGGTTTGAAATGACCAGATAATGATTCTACAAATCTACAATTCAGACTCTATTTCAACTTTGCAGTTGGGAGACAATAAATCAGGTGTAATGTTTAATATTTTCAAAAAGGAAAGCTTGTCCTGATTTAAACTAGAATAGCTTAGTTTCAGAATAGCTACACTCCTCGTCTTCAGTACAATGACTTGTATTCTTATTCATTATATTAGACACAACTCTTCAGGATGATTCATTTGCAGTTTCTTTTCTTGATAATTTGATACATTGGTTGTAAAATGCCAGAACATTGTAAATTAAGCACAAGGTGATATATTTTCTTGTACTCTGGTTTTGAGAAAGTTTCACAAAAACTTAAAACAAAGAAAAATGCTCTGTTCTCCCATGAATACTGACTTTTTGCTTGTTGTTTGAATAGTACTATAGTTAAACCTCAGAGTCTTAGCCTGTAATTTAATGATTCTTGGAGTAATGGATTTTAAAAGCAACACGATTGTCTGTTTTTATCTCCTGTGTCTTAGGTGTGCACTGTGGTGTTTGGCTACTTGTCGACGGTTTGTTTCAAGTGGGGTCCTCAGACCGAGCACTACCTGAGGGTTCTGGCTCTTCCTGTCTGGGCCATCCTGCTCTTCTACATTGGTGAGTTTAGAAAGAAGAAGAAGCCTGGAGAATCTGCTCAGACATGTTAGTTTTCATTTCACTACCTCCTCTTCCCCCCTGGGTAGATTACTTAAATATTTTTGCCTGTCTGAATGCAGCAGTTAGCTCATAGCAAGCTGCAGAGAAACACTGTGTTCTTTCACATGTGAGCAGGTGGGTTTTTTTTCTAGCTGAGATAAGGAAGCTGATCTCTACAGGTCCACAAGTCCAACATACACAGCACAGGCAGAGTAACATAGTAAGATGAGGAAGTCTCGTATTTTTAGCACATACAAGGCGTGTCTAGAAAAAGTGTTGACCCCTGGGCATGAAATGTTAATGCATAAGTCGTCATGCTCAAGGAATGAACAAGCAGAGGACTGTTCGTTAAAGTGATCGATACTATCTCAAAGAAGTTTGCTTCCTATTTAAACCCACATTTTATGGCAAAAAGTGTTTTGAAAAATACTTCATCTGGTCAAAGTAAGTTTCTCCACAATACAGAGGAGACGTGCTCAACATGATTTCTGTTTTAAGTGTCTCTGACCGGCTCCTGGAGAGTGCCCATGTTTGTGGTGTTGGTCGTCCTGCTCATCGTGGGCTCCCAAGAGAAACCACCTGTCCCTGGCCGAGGTGAAGATTTATAGACACACTGCACACACACGCAATATCATCGCTATCATACTGACTCTACAGAAGTGGTGTCAGTCGTCTTATGCAAGTCTCAGCAAGAGAGCAAATATGCACATCTCTCAAAACTATTGCTTCAAAACACGAATGGGTTGAATAAGCGTATAAATTACAGATCAACACCATAGGCTCCCCATAACTCAACAGGGGAAAAGTGAACCTCCTGTAATGACAGTGTTTATATTGTATTATCTCAGACCTTTGACCTCACTCAGAGTGAGATATATCTTGCCTCAGTTTTCCCTTCAGGTCAGTTCCTGGAACCACTGGACTCTTCGCAGCCTCTTCCTGTGTGAGTTACTGTTGCTCTCCGTCTCTCTTCCTCTCCTCAGGTGAGCTGTCAGGGCAGGTATTGTCATTTGCTGCTAATACCTTTTACATGGCGATCTCCTGTAGCAACCTTCAGCCGAAAACTGAGCCCAGTGAAAACTCTGTCACAGGTAAGATCTTTTCTGTCTATAGCTTCCAAATGTCTCTGTGTTTGACCATTCAGACACAACACAGTTTCAGAAAACAAGCCTGATATGGAGGAATAATGGTGATAGATAAAGCAGAGTAGAGGAGTGTTTATATATTACTATAATGTACATTAACCAGAAGTCAAATTAACTATTAATTAATGAAGGCATATTTTAAATGTGAAAACAATATATTCACTGTTATTTAGTGGAGAAACAATCTCTATTCTCCACAGTCAACTTGTATTTGGACGCAGCTTCTAGAACCTATTCCAGAAAATGCAGCTCAAAACACTTCTTTTGTTTCACCATTTAGTCATGGTGGTTAACACTTAGTCTGTCTTTCTCTTCCTCTTATATGCTTCCTCTGCTCCCTCCTCTCATCTCCCCCGAAGACGGTGTGCAATCTGTGGCCCCCCAGCCTGCCACCCCGGGGTTCCCTCGGGGCCCTCGTTCATTACCTGCTGGCCTCTTCCAGAGAGAGAGAACCTCCCACAAAGCCAGTGATATCTACTTTATTCTACTGGTCTGGGCCATAGTTCTGGTTCAGGTCTGGCTCAACCTCTGGATCCTAAAACTGCTGCCTATCCCTGTAGCTGGTAACACGCACACACGCACATGCACACACAATATATGTTTGCAAACATTCTTTGACATGCTTCTGTGTAAATCATAATGAAGCCCGTGTTGCATTAATTCTTCAGTGTGGGTCCTGAAGAAGCTGGTCGTCCACTTTGGCCTCATGGGCTTTGCAGAGCGGACTCTGTCCTCGTGGTGGACGGTGGTGGAGAGGTTTGGACGTGAGCGAGAGGAGGCCCTGCTGCCCGGACCCGTCAAAGGCCTTGCCCAGTTCCTGCTCCGCATCGACACGAAGGTAATGCCTCAGACTGATCTACAGGTGGCGCTGTTGCAGCTGGTGCTCTTACTTCCTCTGTCTTTGAATTCGCACGACCTTTTAACAGCACACAGAAGTATACAGGTAACATTATCACCAGCCTCTGCAGTTCCCCTGAGCTCATTTTAGCCTCTTTTAGTTAATAGCTCTGGATTCCAGGTCCTCGACTTTGTTATTTCGACTCACTGCTCTCCTCAGTGTCATTTCTAGCAGCAGCAGCATCATACAGCTGTTTCCACAGATAAAGCTCTGATAAACACACAGCTCCACAGTGCAGTGAGTTCTGAGAAGCTGGTGAACATTGTGCAACATTAATCAACTTGAATAGCTCTCAGTAGAGCACATACCTCCTGCAGTCCCTTTATTAAACCACATTTAAAACCAAGAGATCCAAGATATCAGTCCACTAAATATGCCACATTTCCAGGAATTACTGTATGGGAAATCTGTGAAGAGAAATGTGTGGATCCTCCCCTTTGCCTGGGTCCGCACCAAAATGTTATAGATTTATAGATTGTCCCATCTATCCACCAAGTTTCATAGGAAACCGTCCATTTTAGCTGTTGGTTTTGTGCTGTTCTGGTGATAAAGAAACCAACCAACCAATGGACGGGCAAAAACATGCTAGGGAGATTGAATGGGTCATAATGATGCTCCATGTCTACTGGATGTATAGTTAGGAAACTGTTTGTTAGTTCCATAACAAATGATAATATAAAAAGTATAAAACCAATTATTTCTCAGCATCTCTGGACTTAACTAGAAGTGCCTCTAAATGTGAGGCATAGCTCAGGTTCCTCATCGCTGAAAATATTTGTAGTCTTTGCTCTGACTGTTCTGGGATGTAGTTGTTTGTAATCACAGTGATTCTGATCCCACACTCTCTGTATGGTCAGTAGATAAACCCCGCCTGCCAATCTCTTGATCCCTCACTGCCTGTGCCCAAACAGACGTTGTGTTCTTGTTGCACGGGTACATGTGATGACTTACTGCACAGATCTTTGTTTTTTTTCCAATAATAATCTTCCCAATGTCTCTTTGTCTCCTCCCAAGCTCTGGCATTGGCTTAACAAGCAGGTAATGATTCTGAGGAGCAGCGTGTTGAGAGAAAGAGAGACTGACAGAAAGAGTGTTTGAAGTGAGAGACGGGGATAGAAAAAAAAAACTGCTGCGTATCCAGTGTGAGTGGGTGTGTGTGAAGGCGTGAACACACCTTGTAGTAGCTTCGACTGGCGCTTTACCCATTCACTATCATCACCCTCTCATCCTGTCTTAATATTTGTGTTGCTGCTTCCCCTGCTTCTCGTTTTATTTGTTCAGGAAGCTACAGCTGGGGGGGGGGGGGGGGGGGGGCGGGACTGTTTGCTCCCTCTGCCCCGTCTGTACCTTCCCTGCTTTAATCTCACTGGCAGGTTTGGCTTGAGTGTGTCTGAGCTGCATGTAGAGGAGGCCGATGTAGCTCGAGTGGAACAGATTGGGAGGAGAGGGCAGTGCTTGTGAAAATGCTGTGATGGAAAAGGCCCAGAACAAAACGCCCTCTGAAAGATGAGTTTGCACTTTGGGACAAATCAATGGAAACCCTGAAATCAAATTCCGTTGGTTTTACTGAGTCATGTGTGCAGGAAGCAGTCTGTCACACAGTACAATGAAATTCTTAGTCTCTGAAACGTCCCAGCAACATCAGACATCACTAAATACAAGTCACAAGATATCAATGACAGTATAACAGGCAGTGGAGGTGCATGGAAACATGGAGAGCCTCTGTAATTAAGAGTCTGTTCAGATCGTTTTGCAAAATCTGCAGATGTATCTGAAGTGTATGTGATGTAGGATATTAGATGTTTCCTCAGGACGTTAAGGCAGAAACATTATTTTTTCCAGTAACAAATCCCTTGAAAAGACAAAAAAATCATCCATACATTTATAACACTATCAACTATTCTGTTTAACTGTTCCCTGATATAGTTGTGTGAAAATTTAAAAACACTTCCAGGGTAATGTGCTACTTCGTTACCATGAACATAGACTCTGTAGTTTATTCATTATTTATTTGTCAGTGTGTCAAGTGCTTGACAAAGAAGGACAAATAAAAACAAGAACACAAAACCTTAAAGACAACAAACAAAATACAAATGTATGATTTGCAAATGCGTAGTTTAAATCAGATTTGGCACAGTACTGTTACTGATGGGGTGAGGGATGGGGGGAGTTTGCCAGCATATTGCAGGGCCAACATACAGAGAAACTACAAACTGTGAGCTGCTTCTTACACATCCAGAGTGACGACATTAGAAATGATTTATTATCAAATTGGTTGGTTTTAATCTTTTCAGTTTATGAACCCAAAGAGAAATATAGACCAATGTCCGTCTAATGCTGAAAAGGTTCAGTTATATTTAGATTTTGAACTCGGGGGAGACGTGGTAGAGAGTTGTCATGGCTGTGCGGTTAATTCAGGCATTTGACCTTCTCACATGTACAAGCTGACTGTTGTGTGTTCACCACAATATTAAAGGAGCAACGAGCTGAGGTGCATTAACGTGTCCTCTCGCTTCCTTATAGAATAAAATGATGCTCACAACGTGCACTGGTCAGTTTGATCACGTGTCTTGGACTTCAGAGAAAAGTTATTTTACAAAGATGTTGTGTTTTTTGTTGAGACAGTATCAGATCTCTTATTACATAAATACTTTATATATTTTTTATTTTGTCTTCCTTCCATTTATTAGTGATCTCTCATGTTGCATTAAACGGCAGTGATTGTAATAACTTTTTCAAATCAGATCCGTATTTCTGCTCAAATATTAATTCACCTGTTCATCATTTTTTCAAATCAAAGTCATGTTAAAGGGATGTTTCCATGTTTTTGCTCCTTTAATTGAAGTGAGTCAGTGTTATTGTTCTCAGTAAAGCTACATTCCTACAGATGGTGAATCAAACTTCACTCATGAGATGACAGATTATTTCTGAGCTTTAGGTTCGTATCTCATTGTGCAGCTGCAGATTAGTGGAACCTTTTACTGACACATCTCATCATAAAACATCAGGGCACAGTCTGATGAAAAGGAATCGTCCACTAACAGAGTAACTCCAGTAACCGGATTTTAACACGTGGTCACAGACACAAATGGAGATTAAATCAGTTTGCTGTTTGGAGCATCGAGAAACCTGAGTTGAGAATAACACCAACTCAAAACAGAATACGCACTTTGAAAGATACATGGATATTCTGACCATGCTTCCAAAATAAAATACACTCACAGAAACAGAAGTCGCACACACAGCAGCACGCAGCCCGGGGGTGTCTCCGGCATGTTTCCGTGCTGATGTGCAGAGACGTGTGAATGCGTGTGTGCAGATATCCCGACTGTTGGTTCACTCAGTCAACTTCCCTATTGTCCTCAGGGCTGAAGGGAGAAGCGTTTAGATCCAAAATGGCCTCTTCACATGGAAAAAGGACGCAGGTTTCTCCATGTGTCTGATCACTGTATGTTTTCAACCCCTTCAGAGCAGCACTGACTTTGCGTCTCCTCCACCACCTCTTTGCTTTCCCCTCTCTTCTTTCTCCCTGTTTTTGTGTCTCCTCCCTACTCTGTGCAGATGATCGTGGGCCTGGAGCGATCTCTGGATAAAATCATCAGCATCTTCATCATCTTCCTCCTCGTCACAGGGACGCTGCTCATGGCTCTCCTGCTAACGGCTATGGTATCACTTATTCTGAGGAATGACTTCAGTGTATTTTGGGTGATACTGACATGGTCCGGGCTGACAAAGAAACGTTTTTGTTAAGGTTCATCATGAGAGCGTTCACATCATCGACGTAACCAGTAACCTCATCAATGAGACTGTTTCCAACCATCCAGAATGGGCCAAGTATGACGATGATGTTAAATCCCTTTCTTCATATCTCTTTAACATTTGGATTCATGATTTCTCTCATGCTGAACAGTTTTCATTCATCTGCTCTCCTGTAGTTGGCTTCCAGAGGCTCGTGTGGTGCAGAAGGCTCTGAATTCAGCTGCTACTAACGTGCATCAACACGGGAGAGAGTGGATAACACAGAAGGTTTGAATAATCGCTGACTTATCTCACTTTAGAAATAAAGAACATGTAAGTAAAAATATGTTGAGAGCCAACTGTGCGATAAATCTTTTTTTTCCCCTGTGTGCAGCTTCACAAGATGTTAGGAGACAAAGTGAACCACACAGCGGTGATCGAGAAACAAGTTTTGGAGCTTTGGGACCGATTGTACCACTCCTGGTTTGTGAAGGTAATATTCAGACGGTGGAGGTCTGACCAGTTTCTTTAACTTCTTCATGTCGAGAAGAAGATTCTTTAAATTCACCGGAGTAATGAAATATTCCCGTCCACTTTGCAGAACGTGACCCAGTCTGGACGCCCCCGTGGTCAGAAGTTGATTCATAGACAGAACAGCTGGTTAGTCGACCTGCTGGACTGGAAGGACATTGCCTCGTTCCTGCAGGAAAATATTGAGACTCTGCTGTCTGTAAGTACGGCCGTGTTTTTACACTATCTCCTGGATGAGGCAGAGGATTTGCATGTACATTTGAATAAACGTTTGCCTTAAGGCTGCTACGTTCTTTGTTTACCTCGCATCAAAAGGGATATATTTGACTTAGTACAGTTTTCCTGATGATGACATGTTGCCTCGTTGTTCCGTAGATCCTGGAGTCTCTGTGGGTGGTGATGAGCAGGAACGTTGGTCTCCTCATCTCCACGACAACCACCCTCTTCACTGTTTTGTTCCACAGCGGCACAGCTCTGCTCAACTTTGCCCTGAGTCTGGTATGAAACACTGACATTCAAATTTGCATTGGTTCATTGGGAACATTATGATAATCCTCTCTGTTTAGAACCAGAAGTTCCAGTTGGAGGTAAACTGTTCACATTAGCTGTATCTTTAGTGGTGTTGCAGAAGAATGGCAGGTTATTACAACTAATGTTTTCCTCAATGTGCAGGTTTTTACAGACCATATTGTAATAAAGGTATAAAAAAATACAACAACATCAGTGCTTGTCCTGATATGTTACATGTCCTGTAATTTGCAGATTCAGTCTTGATTAATTGTTTAGTTTGTGAAATGTTAAAAACAGCAACTGGAGGGACCTGGTTAGGGTGCGTTCCACGTATGTGTATACATGTCGAGTAGCGGGTCCCTGGTTCGAATCCCAGCCAGTGGACTGTTTTCTGCCTATTAGTCCACAACCATGTCATCTTGTTTTCTGTCTCTGCTTCACTATCTCTATCAAAATGTCAAAAAGCCCCCTGAAATATATTCAGTAGAAAAGAGGAACCAGAAAATTGCTCCCATTTCATTTGAAGAATAACTGAAACAAATGATACATTTTCAAAATTGGATAGTGATAAATCTTCTTAATCTCCACAACTCCGTGCGGCTCTAATATCCTGCCGGGCATCTTTCCATTTAACATTTTCTTTTCACAGTCTATTGACCTTCAGTAACCTTTTATTCTCTTTTGTTTCCTGTGTGTATGCAGGTGATCTTCCTCACCACTCTCTTCTACCTGTTGAGCTCCAGTGGTGAATACTACAAACCAGTCAAATGGGTGATCAGCCTGACCCCTCTCTCCCAGCCCGGACCCTCGTCTAATATCATTGGCCAGTCTGTGGAAGAGGCGATCAGGTAGTCACATGCACACAATCATCTAAAGTGTTGTTTGGCAAATGATACAGAATCTATAAATATATCTACAGGATTATTTTTGACCTCTGCCGTGTGTTTGTGTTGAAGAGGAGTGTTTGACGCCTCTCTGAAAATGGCCGGCTTCTATGGCCTCTACACTTGGCTCACTCACACCATCTTTGGCATCAACATCGTCTTCATTCCTTCTGGTGAGTCAGCTTGTTCATTGTTTGCACAATATGTCCTGCTGCTAAGCCACGAGCCAACGATTTCCCCCCTCTCTGAATCCCTCTCTCCTGGCTTGAAGCTATGGCTGCCATCCTGGGTGCCGTGCCGTTCCTGGGGACATACTGGGCTGCCGTGCCGGCGGTGTGCGACCTGTGGCTGGTGCAGGGCGAAGGCGTCAAGGCCGTGCTGCTGCTGATCTGCCATCTGCTGCCCACATATTTTGTAGATACAGCAATCTACTCTGACATCTCCGGGTATGTGTGTGTGTGTGTGACAGCTTGTGTGAGTGTTATTGGAGCTTCCACTTAGAGCATTGCAACATTTAGCCGACAAAGTTCAACATCCCTTCTGTAACTGTTGTTGTAACACATAAGAGCCCAGTATCTTGACACAGCTACCAGAGGAAACTCTTTTAGTGAAATCTATAAACAGGGTCTTTTTGCTCTGCCACTTTCATCCACTGTTGGCTTATGGAGAGGCACCTCATGAAAACAGCACAGGCCTGATAATACTTACACTCAGCTCTGGGGTTAAGACTTCATTCAGCTTTTAACAAGGAGGTTATGTTTTCGTCTGCACTTGTTTCTTTGCAGGATTATGCAAAAAACACTCAACCAGTTTCCATTTCATATTGTGGCAGTGCGGTAAGATCCAATGAAAATCCCATTACATTTTAGTGCAGATCCAGATCAGGGGGCAGGTCCTGGAATTATTTATCACTTTCTTTCACAATGTGCGATAAAGTGTTTTTCTGCATTTCTGTAGAATCATTTCTCAGAGAATTAATGATAGGGAAAAATCTGACATGTTTAGTCAGATTCTAGTGAATTTAAGTGCGATTTCATAAGCGGACTGTTGGACCTTGGTGGGACATGCAGTCTAAACGGGCTGGGTTTTTTTAGGTTTTAGGGCTTTTGCTCAAACACTAACTGTGTTTTAGGTTTTTAAAGAAGGAGGAAACCCAAGTTTTGAAAAATACCAGTGTACATGTGACCCAGGCCTCAGACCTTTGAATTCTCCTGTGGCTGAACTTCAGATTTACTTTTTGCACAGAATGAGGACTGTGAATCCTGCAATCCATTTCATACAGAGTAGACTGTGAAGGAATCACAGCCAGTGACAAATAATCACAGAGACCACTTCATTTCTTAATACACACAACCTGTCAATATTGTGTTCAGATAAATTTTAAAACCATCTGAATCAATCCTTTGATGAGCCCTTTATACGGTTTTTTTTTTCTCCGTGTCTCAGGGGTGGTCATCCGTATCTGACAGGTCTAGCGGTGGCAGGTGGAGCGTACTATCTGGGTTTGGAGGGCGCCATCATCGGGCCCATCCTCCTCTGCATCCTGGTGGTGGCCGCCAACATCTACAGTGCCATGTTAATGAGCCCCAGCTCTGCGGTGCCCACGCCGGTGCAGTCGTCCTGGCCTCTGCACCCCATCAGGTAAACACAGCACCTGAAATACCTGAAACACACAAAGAAAGCTGATCGATCTTCATGCCGTCACTGTCCTCTCACTTGTGACTTTCAGGACGTTTGCAGACTCCACGCCATCCGTCATGAAGATGACCAGTGAGTGATAGTAAGAAGGCGCGTCCCTGTGGAACGCTCCCTATTGGCTGATTCCTCAGGGGGAAGTGCTGCCCCACCCCCGAAGCTCTTCTTCCCTAAGCTGCCCGGCTCTACAGGCGTCAGCCTCGACCAAGAAGAGATGGTGGTGTAATGGTTGATCTCCCATGATGTCTTCTGCTCGTCAGACCAGTCTCTGTGTGAGCCGCTCTCATCTAATACCCTTAAATTACAAATGTGAGCGTATGTCCTGATCCCAAACATGGACCAACATGTAGAGATGTTGATGCAAATCACCTCGTCTTCAGGACATAGTGCCTAAATTCATTTTCTTATATTGAGAAATGGCAGAAATGTTCCTGTAGTTTATGAATTTTAAGATGATATATTTTATCTACGAGGCCCCTGATTTCCACCGTGTATGGCTGGCTCTGTTTGAAGCTGCAGCGTGTGGTCGCACCGCTTCTGTTCTCCCTACCTCTCTCCTCATGGAGGTTCAAGTAGAGTTTGTAGTGAAGGCAGGTAATGAACACTTCTCACCACAGCGACCTCACACCTCGCTCAACAGAACGGGTTGTTGAGTGTTTGATGTTTGAGTGGAAGAAGCTGTGAGTCTACAACACTCAAACTCTGCTTTAACAAAGACGTCCGTCTCCTGGACCAGGCTCTGTTACACTGTTTAAAGTGTCTGTACGATTAAAACATCGCACATGTTACAGTTTTTCTAACGGTTACAGGTTTAGACTGATGACGTTTCCCTCAGCGGGTCAGGTCAGAAGACCGACGTTTAGTAATTTATTATTTTTAATAGACACTGAGTGCACATATAGGTCGGAGTATTAGGGCCATGTTGAAGAAAGAAAGACTGACATTTTGAGAATGTAGTCGTAATATTCTGAGAAAAGTGGCTGTTGAGAGATGACTCATAATATTGTCATAAAATTGATTAGAAAAAAGCTGTTTCACTTCCTCTGGATCCAAAATCTTAAAACAATTTTATGGTGAAACTAAGAAACATCTTTTGATTAACTCCCAGTTGACAAACATTTCCTTATCAACTAATAACGACTGAATTCTCGTAAATTACAACTTTATTCCCGTAACATTTCAACTTTATTCTTGTAATCTTTTAACATGGCCCTAACACTCTCTCTCTCACACACACACACACACACACACACACACACACACACGCACACACACACACTTCCATTCTTCACACTCTCAGCTGATCAGTCAGAACTGAAGGATGTTTACACTCTGAGGACGTTGATGTTTGAGAGTTTTCATCAGCACTTTTCAACATTTGCTATGACTGTGACTTATATCCCCATCACATGATTTCATCAGTAGTTCAAACCTCACACACCTCCCATCCCTCAGAAATGTTTTGTAATTTCTACTCCTGTTCTCCTGCACTTGTCCACCTCACATGTCACCTATAGTCAGCGGTGACGTAGTTTACATCACTTGAAGCTTTATTTAATGAATGTAATGTGACAACGGATGATTCATGGCCACTTTGTTATTTAGCTGACAGTGGGGGGGTGGTGATGTGGTTCTATCAATGGTTTCATACTGTAGTTTTATTTGGTACTGTTGCTGTGATTTATTAATTACTAGATATGCACTAACACAATAAACACTTTCAATTGATCTGCTGTGGCTTTGTAGCATTTAATATTTACTTTCATCCTTTTTTTACTAATGTATGAAATGTTTGGTTTATAAAAGTTTAGTAAATGTTAAAGGGCTCATTTCATTTTCTTATAGGAGTCATTTTATAAAACCAAACATCTAAGATATTGAATTAATGATATATGAAGTTTCTTTATCAAGTTAAGAATATTAATATTTTATTATGTCAAAGTCCTTGTTCTGCTTCAAATATGTACAGTTTGTAGTGTTATAACAGATTATCAAAGATGCCAATTAATTTTTTATTGATCAATTCATTGACTATTCTTTTCAGTTCTCAACTAAAGAGAGTTTCATTTTTGGGGTTAGCCTGAGGAATCTATTTACTTTTGCCTTTTTTCACTGTCATGGTTCAGTGAGTTCATGCAAACACTAAACAGGTTCAACTGGAGAGTTTGCTCAATGACAGGAAAAAAGACGACTAGGCAAAAAAATCTGCTGCTAAAATATTCAAAACTAGTTCACAAGAATTCAATTACAGAGCAGGATACCGTTGACGATCACGGACGTTGATTCCGGTTTGTTTTTCCACCAAACTACTAACAGTTTATGATCACTGCATCAGTTCTGCCTGAAAGAAAGAAAAGGAAATCGTTTTATTTGATTATCAACCCCTTCAGAAACAGCTTAGCGGCCTGTATTGCAGAGGCCTAATGAGCAGCTCATAGGAGGGATGACGTTGAACTGCGTGAATATTAATCAGGCTAGAAACTTAGAAAAGTCTTAGTTTGCCTGCATGAATGAGAGTTACAGGCTCCCACTGTGTTTGTGTGAGTTGAGTCAGATGGTGTCGTCTGTTCCGTGAAGACTTTACAGATTGTCAATGTGTCAGTGAAGCTCTGGACAGATGGACAGAATAAATATCAGATCCATGTAAATCCACTGTGAGCCTGCTGCTGCTGAAGCCAGACATCCTGTTTCCTCTTCAGTCAACTAACAAACAATCCACAAAGCCACCCACCACAGGAAGAAAAATATAAATAAATAACTAAGTAAACAATAAAAGAAAAGGAAATGAACTAAAGTTGAATATAATCAACAGGCTAAGACAAAATGAAACACGATAAAACAACCATCAGGTAAAACACCTCTATTGAATAACAATTTTAATAAAATTAAAAATTAATTTGTAAATGTCAATAGATTTAAAGCCCCTGAGGAGACCATGCAGACTGTTCCAGTAGTGTTACTGATATACAGATATATTGTCCAAAACGCCTTAGTTGGACGACTTTTCAGTTTCAAAGGAATTTAAAAAAGTGTGATAAAACCTCTGCCTTCTCAATGTGATGATTAATAAATACCATCAACTTTTCTCAAATTAACAAGATATTTTTAATGTAATAATACGATCATTATATTGATTACTAGGTCACAATAATGAGATAAGGAAGTCATACTTACAGACATTAAAAGTACAGTGTGTAGAATTTAGTGATATCTAGTGTTGAAATTACATGTTGCAGCTGAACACCCCTCACCTCAGGTGTTTAGTTTGTCCAGTCTGGACTAATGTAAAAAAACATGGTGGCCTCCGTAGAGAGGGTCCCCTCGATGTAAATACGAAGTATTTAAATATAAAGGACATTTTCTGGGGTAAAGAAAACTACAATTCATACAATTTAGATGAAACTAACTAGTGGAAACATCCTGAGGATTATTCTACATTCAATTTCTGCCATAAGTTCCCTTTCACCTAAATGTTACACACTGGACCCTTAAATGCATTGTGTTAAAGTAATTAACTCCTCA